ACAATGACCTCCTGGTCAATCGGACTGGCGATCCAAAATGTCAGTGAAATTCGGACGCATTCCCTCGATCCACAGTGCACATTTCCTAGTTAGCGCTCAAAGCCTGCTGGATATGTACCGCCTCTTCGGAAGCTGCCCGTGTGGTTATCTGCTTTTTCACAAGTACCATTCACTGATCTGTGGACTTATGCTAACATAAAGCCAATAACTTTTCCTACGCGTTCTCCATCTCTTTTTATCACTGAAACCTCTAAAATCGCTTTTTTGGATTTTCATCCCAGCTATAATTCATTTGTTTTCGAGCTCAAAATCAGAGTGAAAGAAGTGTACGAAAAAAGGGAAGAGAGAACAAGGGAGAAATTACCTGAAGCTGAAACATTTAAAGACGCCGGGAATGTAAAACCACTTAAGCACAAACATATGCACATACCCAAATGTACACGTACACACCCACATACACATGTGCATACCCACACACACACGCGCATACTCACAAACACACACACGCACACATACATATCGCAAACACGCCCCAAATGTTTTTACGAATTTCCAGAAAGCAACAATCGGTGATTTAAAACTCAGATGTGAAGAAATAGAGACGAGACACACGTTAGAAGCTGACCAACTAGAGGTGCGACACTGGCCTTAGCAATTAAAAGAGTCTTAAAGTCGGAAAACCAGACTATGAACTGACCAATATTTCACATACAAATACGCACATTTAAAACGCAACCATGAACTGTAATTTTTTCAAGTATTTCAATGTCAGCGTCAAGCAGATCAAAATGACTCGACTTGAATTCCCTTCTTTTGTGCACTCAGAAAAGCCCAGGTGCAACAGAAAACAAAGCTGCGTACTGAGTAAATGAGATACATGAAACTGGCAACGAAAGAGATGGTTTCAGACTGCGCAAGCGCCGAAACTTGTAATTCAAAGTGCTTAGAGAATGCACCTGGGGATCTGTGCACCATTATTTGCCTCGTTTGTGAAGTAGCCCCGCTCACTACCGGACGAATGGAGAGGCAGTGATTTCCACGTACATTTAAAAAATGGTGAGTTTTTCGTTTGTTTAATAACAGCTTAGCAGAAAGCGGTAAAATGTATATTCAAAAACAGTGCAATGGATTGCCCGGTTGCGTGACTACTGCCAATCCACCATTGTATCGGTTGCCCATGTGCCCTTTCATAATTATCGCTTGCGATTTTTGACGAGCAGTGGAGTAAACGATCTCCTACAGCCATACGTCAAGTGCAGCCATGCCAGGAGCGTCTTGCTCTAGCTGTTTATCCTCAGTTTGTACCCTGTGTTTCAATAAGGACATCGACAGTGGAGCCTTCTTCGTAAAAAAATGTAAGACACGGAAGGGAATCGAATTTTTGGATCCTTCAATTCGTGGTGTGCTCGATAACAAGAAACTGAAGCATTCATTTCGGATGTATGCCAATTCCAGACACACACACACACACAATTCTATGTAAATGCTTCAGTTCTCAAACAGCATATACTCTCTGAGCCCTAATCTTTGCTAGTTTTTTGCGATTTCTCAAGACGCCGGCTTTTCGAAGGTCATTTTTGGTCTCGTGGATACCATTTTCTGATGCCCTGCGTTATGTACAATGTTACGAACGCACTCTGCCTTGCAGCTTTTAAATTTTTTGTAATATTTAAGAATTATTAAAATTAACGCCATTCCTAATCAGTGTCGTTGCACTACCCATACAGCGAATTTTATTCGTGAAATTAGTATTTAAACCTAATAACTAAACACTGATTTAAATTAGTTGGTGCAAAGGATAACATGCGACCAAACGAGAAAGTAAAATCCGATGGCTAAAGCATGTCGCTCACTTTGCTCATGAGCGGCGGATGTCGCGAAGACTGCGACGAAATAAATGACAACTTAGGCCACCTTCGAAAAGCTGGTGCACATGTGTAGAGAAAGCTTGAGGTATTAATAGGGGGTACGCAGCTCAGGATAAAACCGCCTGGCATATCTGCGCCCGCTGCATGGGAATAGCATCACAATCGTAAAATTTCACGCCGACTGAAGCCGTCCGGACTTAGTATTCTAATAGTTTTTAAGTGGCAATCACACTATTTCAAATTTATATAAATAGCAACGCGCACCAGACTAGCCGGAGCGATTATGCGTTTTGTGCAATTCAGCCCATCGAACGATTGCCTATTAATGACGTTCACTGCTTTGTACTTTTGTCTATGCTAAAATAGTTCAAACATTGGAAAGCAATAAAAATTTCACGCACCAGCGCATGAAAGCTGAATTCGAAACCTTGAAAGGTGAATATCTCTCCGTGACTCCCGAGTTAATAGTTTACCCGCAAAAACTTTCACTAGCCCGCAGGTGATAGCCGAGAGCGCTGAGTTTGAATAGGCAAAGTTGAGCGTGGGCAGGGGGTCATTACCGTAAAATTTCAGCCTCCTAGACTCCGTGGTTCCCGGGATATTAATTTACTCGTAAAAAACTTTCAGAGGGCCATACTT